GCATCGGCAGGCAGACTCTCAACCACTGTGCCACCAGGGAAGCCCATACCACCATTTTTATTAAAAAAAAATTAAATTCCCCCTCCATCATATTAAGCTGTATCTTTTTTAAAAAAAATATTTAGGGCTTCCCTGGTGGCGCAGTGGTTGGGAGTCTGCCTGCCAATGCAGGGGACGTGGGTTCGTGCCCCGGTCCGGGAAGATCCCACATGCTGCAGAGCGGCTGGGCCCGTGAGCCATGGCCGCTGAGCCTGCGCGTCTGGAGCCTGTGCTCCGCAACGGGAAAGGCCGCAACAGTCAGAGGCCCGCGTACAGCAAAAAAAAAAAAAAAAAAGACCACAAGCTCTCCATTTTAGGGAGAAAGGGTGAGCTCCCCCCCCCCCAAAAAAAAAAAAAGTTAAATTTTAATTTAATTTAATTTTATTTTTGGCCACACTGCGCAGCATGTAGAATCTTAGTTCCCCGACCAGGGATAGAGCCCACGTCCCCTGCATTGGAAGAATGGAGTCTTAACCACTGGACTGCCAGGGAAGTCCCTTAAGCTGTATCTTAAGCTTCATTTTCTCCAGGTGATTAAAGAGGGCCACATTTGTAACGTGTTGAGATTCACCAAGGAAGTGACTGAATGCTGAGAATTTTCAAGAAAACAACTGAATTTCATTAGGGAAATGACTCACTGGGACATCAAGGATTACTTTCTGTTATTTAGGACACAATTTTAACACTGGTTTTCTCACCGGGTGCATGCATACACTAAGAGGAAAAAGCGGGGGTGGGGGGGAAAGGAAGGAATGAGCATGTTTCATATGGCCAACAGAATAGTAGCCAAAGGAAGGGCAAGAAAATTAAAAGGTAACAGTGTCAAGAGAATACCTGAGGAAAGCAGGTTCCTTCCTAGCCTAGAAGATAGAGGCAGGGATAGAATTAGCCTTGATCAGAAGGGATCACCTATTTCTCCGTGATTGGATAAACTTCTCAGTCTGGAGTCACGATGCTGAGGTAGGTAGCTCATACTTCATGGTCTAGCTGTTGAAACATATTGGGGCTAATATAGGGTAAGGGTCATGACTGTGCTCAAGATCTGGCAAATAGTGGGCAACCAACAATGTTAACTTTTCCCTGTATACTAATATTTAGTCACACTTATTTAGATTGTTAGATACAGCATAAAAAACATCGTGTTAAACCTTCATTAATACCTAGGCAACTGTTGATGGGGGAGCTAGAAAATTCTTTTAAAAAATGTTTTACCAACTCATATGGAAATTTCAGTTCTCCAAGGCAATCTTAATAATAAACAGTGCTCTTGAAAAGCACTTCTGATAAACCACTCCAAATAAAAGTATTTTGTTTTACCTTCTAACAAGTAGAATGTCTATACTCAAGGCAATTTTAAAATTATACAAATGTTGAAGACTAGGAAAACACTGTTTTCTTTTGTAAATCCTTTTACTACTACTTACCTCATCTAATGGTTTATCTTCCAAAGCTGTCAAATCAAGTAGTGGGTTTTTCACTCCCAATGAAACCATTGTTTTTAACCCTAGAAGATGAATGAAACAAAAAGTTAAGTTTTCCTTTCTTAGAAATAAAAAAATTCACTAACAGCATTAATGACGAGAGCAGCAAATTAAATGCTAGAGTGTGCTTTCTGCCCATGGACGCCGCCGAGTAAGCATCGTTGACGTCTCCCCCCGCCCCCCC